CCTCGTCGAACAGATTGAAGCGTTTCACTCAGCTAGTCACAGCATTAGCAGTTGTTCAAGACGGCGAATCGGCTCAAGTGGTAGAAGGACCCTCAGAAACCAGCAGCATGGAGGAAATGATGCTCTTCATGTGTATCCTTCTGATCGCAGGTTTCGGAGCCGGTTGGATCGTTAAAGACTGTGTGGTCATGTTCATCCTGAGTTTCATGAACAGATTTCCTCACCAGCCAGAAGTCATTGAAGCAGAAGAAGAAGCTGAAGATGTTGAAGAAGAAATTGAAGAAATCCCCGAAAGGACAGATGAAGAACCTCGTGGATCTGAAGAACCTCGGAGCGCGCTGTTGAGCCTGACCAAAAGAACCTCTACGTGAAGTACCTGTACCTCAAGGAGAAGCTGGAGAGTACCGTGGGAAGAACGGTCGACAGCCTGGTTGGAGGAGAACCTTGCAAGGCCAGCGCGAGCAACTGCTCAGGACCCACAACCAGCGCCTCAAGCTGTGCCAGAAGGACCGCCTCCAGCAGTACCTATGGGAACGACGCAGCCTGGAGTAGTTTCCTAACTACCAGGAACAAACGTGTGTCGCAAACCCCATTGCAGAGACCTGACAAAGAGCAGGCGGTGTCCAGGTAGGATTAAGTGCATGAGTGCGGAAGAGGCCGAAATGAATGGAATGAGGCCATGTAGGAACTGTCAGGCAGAAAAGACCTTGAAAGGAGGTCTCAGGAAGCAGCAGTCTATGAAGAAAAGAATGAAGTGCCAAGTTTGGAGAAGAAGTAGTTGGCAAGAAGAACTTGTTTGCATGTTGTTTGAAGGAGCGGATCAATATTGTTCGCAGCCATTTTGCCCAGGCAAAGTTGGAAGACTTTTGTCCAAGCATCTAAAAGTAAAAGGATGGAGACTTGGATGTTGGTACTGTTTACCATTGGAGTGATCATTGCCGAGAAGGCAGTACGGATCGCTTGGAAGAAATTGAAGGAGTGGAATTTGAAGAGGCGGATCCCCACGAGGTCCATAGAAGCTGAATTCCGGACAGAGGATCTGAACGAAATTATGGTCCGCGTGAAGGACTGGAATTTTGTGGAAGGATGCAGACCTCTCTGCGTGTATTGTGGAGAAGATGGACAACCTTGTGTGCGGACCCGGAGAAACCATCAGTGTCACTCTTGCTTGACATGTGCAGTGAAATGGACAACGGAGTATAAATTTCCGAGGATTTGACTGCTATTAAAGACACCGGAAGCATCCAAGAAAACCCTGCAGGACGTCGACGCGAAATCGCCTTGATCAGGGCGAGCTCGCGCTGGCGCTAGTGTAAACCGCAGCTTGGACTTCTAGGAACGATCTTTGGACTACTGGGATGATTTTAATTCAGTTCAGAACTCCTCACCAGCTTGGATTTCTGGGAACGATCGTTGGACTACTGGGAACGGTCCCTGGACTACTGGAATGATTCTAATTAAGTTCAGAACTCCTCACCAGCTTGGACTTTTGGGAACGATCCTTAGACTACTGGGAACGGTCCCTGGGCTACTGGGATGATTTTCATTAAGTTCAGAATTCCTCACCCGCTTGGACTTCTGGGAACGATCTTTAGACTAATGGGAACGGTCCCTGGACTACTGGGATGATTCTAATTAAGTTCAGAATTCCTCACCAGCTTGGACTTTGGGGAACGGTCCCTGGGCTACTGGGATGATTTTCATTAAGTTCAGAACGCCAGCTTGGACTTTTGGGAACGACCCTTGGACTACTGGGAACGATCTTCCTGAGCAGCTTGGACTGTAGGGCGTAACGTGGAGTACTCGGAACAATCCACATGACATGCTTAATTCCAAAACGGAAAACATACCAAGAGAGCCGAGCAGCGCTGGAACTGGTTCCTACAGGGAGATTCTCGGGATAAATGCAGAAAAGACGAAGGCACTCGTCGCGGAGACGGCTTGTGCGAATGCCATGCCATGATAGCAAGGCGAAAAACTCAAGACTACGAGAACATGTGAAGGGTAACACAAGCCTGGAGACTCAAGACTGTGCACCTTGGAGTAAAAGTCTCTCAAGCAACGTGAAGCCCGGAAAGTGAACAGAACCAAAAAACCCACAACCCCAACTGCAAGCCAAGTACAGCGGCCAACAAAAACAAGTACACCTTGAACCCCACGTGCAAACTCTACTACGGTCAACCGCCATGATTTTGCGGCAAACGTAGGCGATTGACCCTTGACTTAGTTTCACAAAGCCTGAACTCTAAGTTTAGCCCAGAAGCTTCTGGTTTTTCAGTCTCACAGCGGCGAAAGGATTGGACAGAGAAGCTTGAAGCCTTCCTGCCTCCAAGCCCCCTGAAGCTACACTCAGAGCAACCCAAGTAAAAGGAGAGTGCTGTTTGTCTGCTTGTTGTGGTAGGTCTTGGACAGGAGCAATGCAACCACAGGGCCCAGTGGTCTCGTCGTTGTTTCGTTTAGTGAGTGGATATATCCGTCCTTGCTTGATACCATCATCCCTGATTGCAAAGAAGGGTGCATCTACGAGCTTGAAGCCAGTGCCTCTTACATGGCGTGCAACATTCTGTGCAAGAAGCTCCATGACGCAGATGTGATTGGTTTCGCGCACAACAAAGATGTCCTTTCGAACCCCATCACAGGAAAATCCGATGTGACGCTTGTTTGCAACATGCTTGATAAGATCTATGACTGGGAAGGCTCCTCAAAGTGCAGCTTTTGCTTTGAGCGCGTGGCCAGCACAGCTAATCCTTCAGATGCCCCCTCGCGAGGTGTGTTGGATGGCTTGCCCTCGCCATGCAGACTGTAATACCACTCCTAGGGGTGTACGCGTCTTGCTGGCGCCTCTTTGAACTCCTACCGTCTGTGTTTTCGCAGCTCAACATACCACCAGCCAATTCTGTGCGATTGCCCCTTGCCAAAACAAGTGTGTTCAGCAAGTGAGTGCGTCAAAATTTTATGTTATTATTTCTGAATGGGATTGAGGCATCCCCCTTCCTTTTGGAAATATGGAGCTCGTTTGCCATATAAGAATATATAAGTGTGCGTATGCATGATTAAAAGAAGAAAATGCAGATTGTGAAGTAAGCTTGTGAGTCAGAAGTTGATTTCTTGAATTAAGACAGTTACTTTAAACGAAGTGTTTCCCGGAAAGCAATCGAAGCAAACGACCGTAATTTGGAACTTTGTTTTTTCAGTCCTCCCCTCAGCGTGCCCAAAGTTTGTCAATTTGTCAACCAATATTTTGTATTTCCGTGTCCAAAACGGGAAACCAGTTGAACCGCTGAAAACCCAAAACCAAAAATTGTGTTGCTTGCAAACATGGAAATTTAATATGTGCAGCGCCTCACATACTTGCAAAATCAGGGTTGATAAATCGCGACTAGGTACATCTCCTGGCATCCTTTGCGGATCTCCAAGCACCCAACCAGGTCGTAATGGGCTGTGCTAAGCCGCGCATGGAACAAAATCCATATGGTCCCTGGATTGTGCGTGCACGGCCCCAAACACGGTGGCTTTCAGCCAGTAGGATCCAGCAATGTACTAAGTATGAAAAACCAGCAGTTTCCTTGGCATCCAAAAGCAAAACGCGAAAGTCTATGCACGTGAGCCGTCGGCTCCATGTCACCATTGCCCTTCCACATGTTTGTGTGTTGCCGTGCGTCAGTGCTTGCGATTTTCCAGCAACCTGGGGCCCCTTGGAAGTTTATTGACCACTGGCCCAGGTTCCCTCCAAGTTCATAAGTTAGTTTGCCAAAAAAAATGCCAACCCAACACAGATGCCCAAAAGGCACCGACAGGAATTCAAAATACAAGCAGCCAAAAACACGAATCTTCAAAGTTTTGAGCTTTATCGGTTCTGCATCTCTAAAAGGTTTTTGTAGAACTGAGACCTTAATCCAGTCCCAAACAACATTCTACCATTACCTCCCGGTTGGACAGTGTTGGGTTTCTCGAGGGGAAAGCCACCAGATTTGGGAGCGCGGCGTTTTTTACAATTATTTGGCCACGACCATAAACATTTGATTAGTCACGTTCCTTGCGCCTTGTTTCCCGACAAAGATTTTAAAAAGCAAGTGCGCGACACACTGTAGGTGTCTGTACACGATGCGGCATGTGTAGAAGGCAAGGCGGCCAACTAAGTTCAGAGCCGTTTGTATTCCGTACGAACGGATCACTTGCACAGTTGCGCTGCACCTTCAGGCTTTCTCTTGAGCTGCGGGTAAAGTCCCAGATGAACATAAATCTGTTGTGACACATGGTTTAACAGGATCAAAGCATGTCTTGCAAACCTCATCGTGTGTGAGCGATGATGTATCAAGCACTGACATCACATAGGGTTTGTGGTGGTATGGTGGTTGCCGAACCATTTGCAACCTGCATGGAGGCCTGCTCTAGCAACATATGGGCCGACTACGCCTGAAGCTATTAATGTTGCACTGCCAATTGACGGTTCCGGTGCAGGCGCTTGTCCTTGTAGAGTCTGAGGAGTCGTAAGGGCCTTCATGTTGATGGTTTCCACCTCTTTTGCACTGTCACTAGAGAGTTTGAACGAGAGACCCAGGCCGACTGGCAAAGATGGCGGAACCCCCAGACGAAGATGCCGCACACATATTCCACAGAAGATTCAGGATGTTGGTAAGTAAGGAAAATCTTCGGCACTTGCATAGTGAACAGGATCTGCATGGTGGTGCTTGCATTTTTCCTCAGGGGCTCGTGCACTTCAGCGCGAGGAATCGCAATTCTGTTGCATGTCCGTTTCTTTGTCTTGCGCTTATGTTGCAATTCTTGTAGGACTTCGAATTCACAACGCTCCTGGGAGAGGCCGCTGATTGATCTGACTTGCCATGTGCCACATGTGACATACATATTCTGTCAGAAACGTCTTCCAGGGCGCCTTTGCAAGAGTTCTTCGCGCTCGTAGTCGGCATGACGGACGCGGGCTTCTCAGAAGTCAATATCTTTGAAGACCTTTGCATTTGCATCTCTTAGGCGAGTATGCCATGAAAGTAGTGGAGAAGAAGAGAATGATACAGGCCGTTGCCAAACATGCTTCTCGCTCTGCGATTTGCCCATCAGCATATTTGATCTTTCAAACTTGTGCGAGTCCTGCATGTAGGCTTTTCGCATGCGGCAGGTTCAAAACCGCACGAACCGAGTCATGACCGAGCGGCTGATGCTCCTAAAGATGGACCATCCGGGGATTGCCGGGGACCTATGTGTAGCGAATGGAGTGACATTCTTGTCAGCAAGTGAAAGCAATTGTCAGGCACTGAGGGTTGCTTTCCCAAGAGTCTTGTTGCTTTGGCTGGCAGTGCCAAAGGGCAAGTTTGTTGCGTTCCAGGTGCGGATGCACTTTGCCTTCCAGGATGGGAGTGGCATCGCTGATAACCTGGTTTCGCTCGTTTTCAGCGCCCAGATATGTTTGCTTGGAAGATATCCCAACAAGGCTGGCATCAGCTTTCAGGTAAGGGCCCTGGCCGACTTTGGACCTCTGAACTTCAATTTCAGTGTGCCAAGCTCCGTTTCTACTCAACCTCATCTTCAGCCGCGCCCCAACCCTAAACATGGGATGACCAGGCTTGAACTGCCTCCTACATGCATTTATGCTTGCATAAATGCCATATGGACTGACCGTTACACCTCAAACGGAACACAGCCGAAGCTGAACCCCAATCAGTTAAACCCTATGTTGTACAACTCGGTCCTCAAACTCTTGACGCCTGAACGCAATGTCCCCCAAACCTCAGGCTCTAAATCCTGTGCCTAGCCCTAGGCCTTTCAACCCTAAACCTGGAACCGTGAGCCAAAAAAGGCAGAATTCCTATCCTTACTTCCCAACAGTCTGAATATCGAAAGGCTACGCTTCAGAACCCTAACCGCGTTACGTTCTACACTTGAGCTTGAAATCATGACATGCCCTATACCTGCCTCAACCCTACACTGCCGTTGAAATGGGACCTGCTAAATGCCCAAGCCCCTGAGACCCTAGGCCTGCTTGCACATGCCGTGCGAGTGATTCTTGAACTCCGAAGCCTACCTCCTTAACCCCACAACTTTTGAAGCCGCAAACGTGGAGGCTGCATCTCCAAAATTCTGAAGTGTACTTCCCCAGAACTTCAGTGTCTACAATGTTGCCCAAACCCTCAAATTCCAACCTCTAAATACGAAAGCCATACCCTTGCCCTCAAGACTCAAGACTGTTGTGTCGCAAATCATTGAAAACTGACCCCTAAATTGTGGTATTACGCCCAAATGATCTCCATAAACGCTTGTTCCGCATGTTGGCCTGACCCCATATATGCCATACCAGCAAACTTCACACCATACACAAACACTCTAAAGCCTAAACCTTCGACAGTGAGCCTCAAGCCCTACACGTCAAAGGCTCAAACTCTACCTGACCAAGCCCTGAACCTTGAAAGCTTGAACCACGCCTTGCCAGCATGATCCTGAAGCTGGAACATGGATCCGTATCAGCTCTGGACCGTGTTTCAATACCCAAGACCAGAATGCTCCAAAACTACGAGATCCCAATGGACAACCGAAAGCTTTAAAACCTTGAGTCGCATGTTATTATGGCCTTATGCCCTACCAAAAGTAAGCAGGAGATCGGATCCTTTGGACTTGACGCGTCTGGTCAAACTCATCTTTTACATAGTTGACAACGAGCAGAGAAGAGTCACAAGACGTGTGATCAGTCTGATCCAACGTTCGCTTCCAGCATTTAATGCAACATGGGTGCATTTCTGCCTAAGATTTGTCTTCCCTGCGAGGACGCTTGGTCCCTGTACTTTGGTCTGGAACTTGCCCGGGCCCGGGCTGCGAGATTTCCAGTAGCGGCCAATGCAGGAGAGCAAGTGCTGAGGTTCTGGGTGGTGACCTTGCCACTCAAATTGATCGGATGGGTGGTTGTCTCAAAGCGTACCTGCTTGGTATAAAGGTTGGAGTAGTGTCGTGTGTTTTTTGACGCCAAGGCACGTGCTCCCGGGAGTTCACGCGCTTCTACACAGCAGAGATCGTCAGTATTTTGGGGTGCGCATATGTTGTGTTTGGTTTGGCTGCTGCATCTTGGTTCTGTCTTTGCTCAAACTTTAAGAGCTTCAGTGAGAACGGTCACGTGTAGCAGTCTAGCGCGCATGGACGGTGCCTGAAGGTACCTCCGCCTTCAGCGAGTGGCGCATCGAGATCTCAAACCAGAAAACTTGCTTTTGACATCGGAAGGCAGAACTGGGGCTGGTGCTTAGACACAGCCCAGACGCTAACCTCTGCCACACTCTGGTGATGTTTGAACAGCACTTTGGAAAGCCAGATCAGAAGGATAGGGTACTGGAAGTCGTCCCCTCCTGTGGTAGGTCGACTCAAGCTGGTGGATTTCGATGCTGCAATGCTTGTGCCATACGAGGTGCTGGATGGGGTAGACAAACGAGGACATAACAACAGAGTTCCAGCAGACCAGTTCGCTCAGCTATCACATGTCGGGTTGTTTCTAGCTGAGGACCCTGGGCCCGCGTGATTCGATACACAGATTTGGGTTGCAGACGTATGAACAAGAACTCGCAGAAATCCTGCCTGACATGCAAGTGGTCCCCACTCAACGTGCGCGCAGAAATTTTTCAGTTTGGTGTGAATGAATTGCTCTTACCCCCTGCAGGGCGAGGGTGATGCAGCGGGTGGGCGCACTGACAATGGAGGAGGCGATCACAGAAAGTGCTATAGCCTGTATGCTCTGACACCCGAAGCCACTTTAGGGGATCATTCGGCTCTTGTGCTCTTTGCTTTCTGCAGAAGGCTTCCCCCCATGCGAAAGTTTTGTGGGAACTGCACTGCAGGGGCCCGGGAGCTGTGCTTGCTGAGAGCCCACCATAGAGATAGTAGAGCGCCTGTTGCCAATTGAATTTTTGGCAAGGAACGTTGGGGTCACTGCCGTAAGGCATTGTTTTGGGTTGTATTGCTTGTTGCTTCGTGCATATTCCTCAGCGTTTCAGTGGTGTCATTTGATGCGTCTGCACTGAGGTATGTTGCTCCAGAAGTCCTCCTCAGCACTGCGGATCCATCTCAGGCACGATGATTGTGAACGTTTCCAGAATCAAGGGGCCTGCCTGCCCAGCTGACGGAGCTAAAGGGTTCGACGTTTGATACAGATGTTCTCTTCACCTAACCATGAAAAAACACAAAAAATCAATGCTGGCACGGCACGGCAGAATCCTACGCGGCTGGGCTGCTGGTTAACCCACAGATGATGGCCAGCAGTAAAAACAAGCAGAGGATCCGGCATCTCGCACCTCCCTGGGATCCCAGCCATGGAAGACTCTTGGAAGGGCACACCAACCGTCGGTTGTTTTAGACATCACCTGACCTTTTTGTTAAAGAGGGCTTCAATAAGCCCAAAGTGAGTGATGTTTATCCGGGCCATACAGGCAAGCCTGTCAAGCCAAGGGGATCAGCTCAAATGGGTTGGATTGTAACTCGATATTTTGAATAAAAATCCTACCTCTCGATGCATAGGCCGAAACTCACCGGTATTTATTCTGCTTCCGCACCTTGCACGAAGAGCCTTTGCAGCTTCCTTCTTGTACGCGTACCATCAAAGCCAGGCCTTTGCCTTAGACCTGTGGGCCTTGGGATGCATTGTGTACCTGGCTTGCAGCTCAGCCGTCTCTGAACAAGTGCACATAAGTACATGTCTCAAGTTGCTTATCTTCGTTTTTTCCTTCGGCTTGCTTTGCCAAGATGTTAGTGGGGCACACACCTTTTCATGCAGAGTCTGAGCGCGGGTCCCCAGTGGCCTGCTGGCCAAGCTGCCAGCAAAGCTGCTCATGATTCCAGGTTCACTGGTATGTTGAAATGCCTGAGGTACCTAGTGTTTCAGCGCGTTCAGAAGGTTGACTATTCCTTTCCTCCTCAGCTCTGCAAGCAGGCTGACAGGGCTTTGAATGGAAAGCTGAAAGACTTTCTGGTAGCGGTGCTGGGGTGCTTGACTGCTTGACCGTGCACTCCCCTGAAGGGAAAGCAGCTCATCGAGGCCGGTGTTTCAATGGCCTCGGAAGTGCGTTTTCTCCATTGGCAGCGGCAGGGGCTCCTGCAGCTGGCGCCGCAGAATCGCACCGGTGCAGGCCACAAGGCTGCTCAAAAAACCACCCCTCCCCCCCCCTCCATGTTTTCGCGAGGTGTGCAGTCTTGTTGGTAATTACCTGTCAGGGTATGGTTGAGCTGGAACATCATGATTATTTCAGCCCCGCTAGAAGCTCAGCGGCTTACACAGCAAGCCTTTGTTGCTGCGGCATGCGCAGTTATTCTATTCAATCTGAGGATACTTTCGGCGACATTCGCAGGTGCCAGATCGCCATCCTTGATCGCAAGCAATTACCTAGCTTCACAGCTGAGAAGCATTGCATGATAATAGCTCGAGAGCGCCAGTCTAAGCAGAGCCATGCTTTCTTGTTTTCGCATGGTGCCTGTTTGATGGAGTGTTCAAAGTGAACGCGTCTCGAAATCAGCCTACATGTTCCCCTAAATGGATTTGTTCAGATTGCTTCGCTTGCGCTTTCTGCAGGCAAGCTCCTCCTTCAAGACTGGCGCGCCTCATGCCAAGACCTCAAAGTCACAGTCATACAGGAAGATCAGGGAGTCGTGCTCCAATGGTAACAGCCGTGTGTGCTCCGACGTTGTCTTCCCAAACCCGAGGCCTCGGCGAAGTGATGTGCTCAATTCTTGACAGTCAGAAGTCATGTTGGTCACACCGTGCTCGCAGCTCATAATCCACCTTATTCAGACGTTATTCACTTTGTGGATGTTTACCTTTGGAGTGTTTCTCTGAGGACCGGAGGAGTTGGTGCCACCTCAGTGCTTAGTCAGCGGAGCAGTGAGTTCTTCGTTTTTCATCGATGCGAATTCCACCCAACATCTCATGCGGCTCCTTTGGATTCGGCTCAGGCAGCGTGAATAGCGCGCTGTACCAAAGCTAAGGGTGACAAAGCTGATCAAGGTTAATGATTCCACTTTATGTTGAACATGCTATGGAGGCTGAAGCCTGTGCAACACGCGCAATACAAGATGTGAGAACGTAATTTGGTGTAACATGTGTAAGGGTTTCGGCCAAGGCCGCATCAGCGGGGTAATTCTCTGAGCCCTGTGGCGTGCATGTCCTTGCATTTTCCCCGATGCAGTAACATTTGGAGAGCTTGATGCTCAAAGTCGAGCGATCCATCGCTTTATGGCTGGCCTGTTCAGGAGGTTAGATGAGTGTTTGCCATGCAAGCATTTGGCATGTTCTTGCCGTCCTGTTCTCTTTGTAGGCTGGAAGACAATGCATACGTGACTTAGAGGATGCCTTGGCACTCAGCTCAACCCATGATGCGCGCCGGCAGACTTCTAGCATATGTTGCTTTGGACTTTTTCCAACGGCAGTCATGGATTGACTTGCTGCTTCAGGTCGACTTCACTGTCGCTTGCTGGTGCATTGCCATTTTCATTATCACCGGCTGACCAGGAAGCCCAAGCAACCTGCATGCAAGCTAACGGACTTGGCTGGTTGATGGTGCAATACGAATTAGACTCGACACCTGCTGCGCCTAATTCGAGTCAACACTATACGGCAAAAACCGCACATTGATGCATGTTGCGGCTTGCAATTTTGAACTCAGGATCCCGCTTCCGATCTTCCTCTGCCCGGTAGCAGGGCACAAAGCACACTGTTCTTGTGGGGTGTGGCATCCAAAGAACGGACCCCGATCTGGAGTAGCACTCGTGCTGTTGTGACACATCCACCTAGACCTGCGTGCGCATACTGAAAGTTGCTAAATACTGAGGACCGCCCGATGCTGATCTGAGCGCCACCTCGCAGGCTGTCCAAAACAGGAGAGTCGCGTGTGGAGTGGTTCTCCTATGAAGGCAGAAGCTGCCGGCCTGTCAGCAGAGCTTCTGACAGAGGCTGCCCGTACAGTTTTCCCTCCAGTCACTTTTTTTGAGTTTGTTGCAGGTTCGATGGCTGACCCATTTGGCCACCACTCAGGCAGGTGTGGGTATGAGAAGGATCTAAGCTAACATGGCGGATGCGACAGTCTGAGGATGAAAGGGCGACTGAGGATGTTTCTTGGCAGATTATTTACTTATCTTTTGGAAGAGTTGTTTAGTGCTGTCCTCATCCCGTCCAAGGACTGGAGATTGTTGGCACTTTTGCTCCGCTCCGCTGGATTTAACAAGGCGGGCTCATGGCTGTAGACTGCATGGAGTTATCATGTTGATGGCTACGTAGGCCTTGTCTCCCTTGGCACCACGGGCACAATTGGACGCGCTGCGCGGGCACTCAGATAATGCGAAAGTGTGGTTGACAACGTGCCCGCATGGCTCTGCGGGCGCATGCGGGCGCATTGTGGAATATGCTGCAGGCTTCCAGGCTGATTTCTCAAGATTGTTGGCTTGCAATTTACGATTTCTGTTGATTTCCAGCTTCGATTAGAGAGTGGTATGGGCTGGGGCCAGTGTCCTGGCGTGACACGTCTGCTGTGCAGCATGTCTGGAACTTCCAGCGTACTCCAAGTCCAGTAGGGTGAAAGAGAAGAGATTCGACATGAGCATGTATTGGTTTCACCTTTTAGATTCTTCTTGATTCCTGAGGGTGCGGCATGAGGGGACAAGTTGCTGATGGCACAAAAAATTGTTGCTGTCAATTGTGCGTGCTGCTGTAGTTCAGGTCCTTCCTTCAAATTGACTGCAAAGCAGCTGGTCAGTTGCTGGCATCCCAGTGTGAGCCTCAAAGCCTCATCAATCTCCTGCCGGGCACCTGCTCTTTCTATATTATATATATATGTACATCTTCTTTGCCCCGCCTGCCCTAGGTCTGTTGATCTTCATCCCGCGACCAATTCTGGTTGGGCACCTGCACGCCCTGGATTTACTGCTCAATCTGGCTAGATCTTGTCATCTGCCAAGGTCCAGATGCGGCAGGCCGGAGGGGAAGCCTCTCCCATTCGAATTCGAGAAAAGCGTGACAGTGCTCTCTCTTCCACTTCTAAGGAAGAGTATCCCTCTCGCATTCTCCGCGTCATTCTCATGCGCAGGTTTGGTACTTCACGGCTCACTGCAGCTCCTCGGAGCGGCACCTGGACAGGCATCGGGCAATCGGGCATTGGCTCCCGTACACGAATGTTGCAACGGATGCACGGATCATGGATCCTTTTGAAGTCTTTGCACGAAGGAGCAGGAGCTTCCGTGCGGCTCCGACATCCCCTACGGCAGGCCCTGATGTGCGAAAATGTTTCATGGTGATGATCTTGGTGCTGTGCGAAAAAGTCAGGACGTTGCGAACGGCGGTTGGGGCACAAGGTGCAGAACTTCTGCGGTTGCCGCATCGGGGCATACAAGAGGCTTCGGTTCCGAAGCTTCTCTAAGGCTTTCTGCAACCCTGCAGCTAAAAGGCCATAGCCATTGAAGAGCGCCGAGCAACGCGGCGGCGTGACGCGGCTGAGGCCGCAAGTGCTCATCTCTCAAAATTATGTAAAATCGCAGCCGTTGCAGACAGCTGGAAAGGAATCAGGACATATATATAGTAAGTATGCCCAAGAGCTCGCTCTGTACCCAACATTTCCATGAGGCGCTGAAGAGCTCAGCGATACTATGCCGGGGCCAGTGCGAACTGCAGGCAACCGTTGATGCACGGGCATGCATTCGCCATTTCAGTGTAACCTCGTTATGTTGATAGCAGTGTAGAGGCGATTCGAAGCTACTTGGCGTCCTCGCTGCAGATCATCATTGTACTTTGCCACGTTTTTGCCATGAATTTCTGCAGCAAAGGACTTGATACCTCTTTTTCATGGCATGGAGTCGGAGAGTCTTCTGCGCCTGTGCCAACATCTTCAGCTTTTGCATGTACCAATGGGTGGGCGTCGCTTGAACGCAAAGCACTTGTTTGTTGATTTCACTCAGCCAGCTGTGGAAATTGCAGTGTGGAGAGGGGGCCAACCAGGCCTGGTGAAGTCTGGAACCTCCCCGGATGGCTTCCGCATTCTCTTGCATGGGACGGCGGCGGTGTCAACTTGTGAAGGCAAGGACTGCAAAAAACTTCCCGTAAACTCGTAGTCCAGAGGAGGGCACGATCCCTCACCCACACTCAATAACTTTGCTGATTTGCCTGGAAATCGTCAGCTGACAAATGACGTCTGTCAAGCGTGCTTGGCTATGAAGAAGCGAACTAATCAGCTAATCAAAAAAATCGCTGCGCGCCGTCCGCCTCAGTCCGGCTCTACGTGCAACGCTGAGGAAGTATATTATGGACAACTGTTGGGTGGGGTGGTTGCTAGCGGGATTTGAAAACAGTAGGAACCTCTGGACACTGAGCAGCCGAAACGAGTTCCGCTGCCCTGCACTGCCTGCACCCTGATGATTGGGATCTCAACCGCTTGCTGGCTTGCTGCAGCCAGACGCATCTTTTGCCAGGCAACAGATGCTTGCCATTGCGCTGCATCGAGGCGTGGTTCTGCCCTTTTTCTGCAAAGACCAATGCGACAAGGCGACAAGGCGAGGCCTACCTTGCATGTCTCGAGCCTCCATCCCAGGCGAGGATGAGCCATTGGAGCCTTGGGAGCTGTGTCTAACTTCCTCTGCGGGTTTCCGCCGGCCTCGAGATATCGTGGCTCTGAGTGAGTCCTGCTTCTCGTCTCTGAGAACGTGTGCAGTTTCATTTCTGCAAGGGATTTTGATTTTGAGTTGCTCCTGCTCAGCCAGGTGATGTTATTTTCCTGCCGCGTGCGGAGCCTTAGTCAGCAGGAGGTGCCGTGCTTTTATCCTTATAAGACGTGTTGAGAATTCCGTTCGCCCAAATCTGCCAACAGTCATCAATCCCATGCTTGCCAGCTGAGTGCATTTTTGCGCTCTCCTGAGATCTGAGGAGAGCGGTGTGATCTGCGATGCGCTCAGAGACGGCTCCGAGCTCCGCCGAGCTGCGTTGCCCCTCAGCCGCTCCCAGATGCTCCGCCCAGCATGGAAAAGATGTCAATTTAGCAGTGTGCTGTTTCGTGGATCCCAGGAAAGCGCTGGTGGTGCTCCAAAGCTGCAGTAAGGACGTTGTTTTGTGCGTGGTTGCCGCGTGGCATAACTGGTGGACAGCTCAGGAAGTCACGCTCTGAAGATGAGGTGCGCAAGGATTGAACAGTCATCCTTTTTGATGCTCAGTCCTTTGCCTGTGTCTGTTCTCTGATTTCTCTGACTACTGACTGTACCAAGGTGTATAAGGTGTAGAAGCAGGTATGTAGCAGAGTGTCGTACGTGTGATATGTTGTCTGTAGGCCATTCAGCCACGCAGTGCCTTGCTCTGCGACTGCCCTCTGTTGCAGGCCCAGCAGCTGGTATCTACAAGAGGGCGCAGAGCAAACCCTGTAAAATGTGACAGGCCCAAGACAACTATTGGCGCTCCCTGGCGCGCAAGCGCAGATCGGAAGCCATGGAGAAGATGCAGCTGTCGCTTGGCTATGTTTGCCACGAAGGATCTGAACGCTGGCTTTGCCTTGCCAAGTGTGCAAGCTGAGATGCACATAGATGCAATTTCTCAGCACACAGTTAACTAACAGATGGCGTCAGATTCAGCACTCGCGGTTCTCTTCTGTTTGCCAGGGCAGATGCGAAGTTGCCATCGCCCAGCGCAAGCTTAGCCAGGCAGATTCCTCCCATGGATGGGATCGATCTGCCGGAGACATGTGTCATCCCAAAGCTCAGTGGTAGCCGCTCTCGCGACACGTCAATAGTCAAACTGCAAACTGTTCTCTGAAGCCATGCGCAGAAAGCACATTTGTTGCAACAGGCCGTTGGGCGCAGGCAGGCGCTGCAGCAGTCAATATTCCCAGAGTCAGTCCTTTCAATATGCATTTCGCATCACTTCGTAGAGGCCAGAGCCGGCGGACTTCAGGAAGTTGCTCGTCTGAGTTGGAATATGAAAGCACGGTTCACACGGGACAGTTCTGCTTTCAAGGGTTTTTCATGATACACACGCTGCCCCGCTGTTGCTTTTGATTTCCAACTTTCTGCAGAGGCGGCAGCCAGTTGTCGCGCAGCAGCAGCCGGGCAGGCTGCGTTTCCCTTCTACGAGGAAAGGTTCAGCCTCATGCATCGGCCAGGCCATGATCAGTTGGCACGAGAGTCACCACCAGGCAAGTCGCAGCAGATGCGAGATGATGCGAGGCAACATTGCAATTTCTGGAAATCTCCAAGGTGACATTGACCATCCACCCACACACAGCCGTTCTGGTCGCGCCGCACTGAGCAGACTTCACCTCAACAGCATGTTTCTGTTGGCGACGATAGCGCAAACTGTGAAAACTGTAGCTTCCATGGTGTGGGTAAAGCAACGCCGAAATGCCCAACAGAATTTGCACATGCACTTGAACTGGCCGGATTGTTTCATCAGTTCTTGAGTTCGCAAGACCGAGGTGCACAGCAGAGCGGCTCTCTTCCAGGTAATCGGGGAGATGGCCGGATAGCAGAAGCTGGGATAAAGCAATACTGTGCGTAGTTTAGACTTCCTCATTAAATTGAATGAGCACATGTTCAATAGATCATCAGAGCTTTCAGGCATGCCTGTTTGCTGAGCAGACAGCAGATTTGGCCTTTTGCGGACCAGGTGGTGCTGCAAGCTTTTGGTCAGGTCGAGCCCCAAGTGTTCATCAAGTTACCTCTGAAGAAATGGCACTTTGCGTGAATGCGGCAAACTCGCTGTCTCTGTCTTGTGTCCCGGATCAAGGTACTCAGCTAGTTTGCTGGTACAGAACTCCCAGCCCAAGCGAGGAGGATGAAGAGGAGTCAAGCCAGCGCACGAGCTGCTGTGGTTGAGGATGCCTTTGTGGAAGGATGAGGCAGAGTGCCTTCGACAATCATATTTGGCTGCTGGTTGGCACAAGGCTCTAGAATGGGCTGAGTGTGTAGCTCGAAGTCTCGAAGCTTGTCATCTACCATCTACCGTTTGTCCAGCTTTGTCACCAAGGCAGCCCAGAGCTGGGCTGAAGAGTTGGCAGGGGCGCTCGTGGAAGGCCCGCTTGTGTCTCTCCATCTCTTTGTCAGAGCGTCTCTACAAGTATCATTCTCTGCGCCTATGTCTCTCTCTTCTCATGATCATGCCTGGCGCATCTGGTGCTCTTCTGCACTCGCAGGTCTTCTGGCCCTTTCGCCCAGCATCAGGCATGTCTTTGAACAGACCAAGTCAAAGTTGTCCACGAAGCAAAACTCATGATGCAGAATCGTGAATGATTCCCAGACCCTACATCGCAAATTCTAAAATAATTTTCCTGAGCTTTCTGTTTGACGCGGCAGGCAGCCTAGAATAGCACTAGATTTGAAATAAGCATTCTTCTTGGCGGTTCCTGCCTACGTCGTTGCCAGGCTATGAATAAAACCTTGTGCCTGTTCTTCATCATTTAGCAACAAATCTCTGGCACAGAGTCCGTTGCTGTGCCTACCACGCATGTGACACATTCGCCAGCAACTCATCGCTACGATTGCTGCCACGACGTGGCCGACGCGAACTCTGCCGACAGGCACTGGAGTGTGCATGCTTAGTGCTGCATTGAATCACCCAAATTCAGAGCTGGCACGACAGTCGCGTGGTAGATGTGACTTGAGATTCTTTTTGGAGGGCCTATTTTTTGGGACTTTTTATTTGTTTATTTATTTTGTTTTAGGTGGCCCCTGGCCTGGAGCGTGTTCGAATTTTGGCTTTTCCATCATTTTCCATCATTTTCCTGATATTTTATTTCATCTTCTATCATTTTCTATAATTTTAATCATTTTTCTAGCATTTTCAACATGTTTCTATCATTTTCATCATTTTCTATCATTTTCATCATTTATATATTATACATAATTTTCCTCAATTTCATATCATTCTAATATGAATTGTTCATGATCTTCATGATTTTCCATCATTCTCATCCCTTACTTGACTTCTGCCTTGTTTCTGTTGGCTGCTTGAGTTTTTGGCTTCTTGGTTTTCGTCTTCTTGGCTTTTTGGCTCCTTGGCTTTTTTGGCTTTGTGGCTTCTTGGCTTCCCGGCTCCTTGGCTTCTTGGCTTGCCGGTTTATAGCTATGTTTCTCATCCTTCCTATTCTTAACATTCTTTCTATTATTAGTATTGTATGCTTATTACTATCATCATTTGTTCTCATCCTTATTACGAATTCTACTACTATTGTTATTACATTCGTATTATTTCTTAAACTACTATTATGATTATTATTCTTATTAAGACCCTTGTTATAACCAGTCCTACTGTACTTACTTGCTATTGTGATGAGCAGTATTATTATTACAATTCATATCCTTAATAGCATTCTAAGTAACATGAGCATTTCGACATTTTCAATAGCATTCTTGTTGAGACCATTGCTATAACGATTGTTTGTCTTACTATGCTATTAAGAATACATTGGGTCATTCCCACGTTACAGTAACGGTTCTTAACGGAGGGCGTATTCTTTAATTATTTTATGTTTTTGATTTTTTTGTCCTTTTGGGTGGCTTGGCCGCTTCCTGGCTTCTCAAGTTCCTGGCTTCTTGGCTTTCTGGCTTTCTGGCTTTCTGGCTTCCTGGCTTCTTGGTTTGTTGGCCTTCGGATTCTTGGCGTTGTGATGCAAATGGGGGGGGGGGCGGCTGCGCCCCCCCCACCCGCCTTGTTTTGAAGTCCACGCAATGCCCGAGAAACCTTTCGTTTAGGTTACTACTATTATTCCTAGTACAAGTACCTATATTTTCATGATTGCATGGACTATTACTATTACTAATAAAATTGTTATTGTTATTACTACTGCTCCTACTATTACTATTACTATTACTGTTAGTATCATTATTATCACTATTATACTTCGTGTTATTCCTATTAACTTTTTATTAGTAGGCGTTTTGCATGAACACCCCCTTGTTTTAATGCCTTCCGTGCTTCATGTTCTCATTCTTTTTTGGTCTTCAACATTTTCGTCATTTTCCAGCATTAGGTTCATGTTTTTGTATCGTTTTCATCGTCTTTCCAGCATTTTCATCATTTTCAGCATCTTTCATCATTTTGCAATATTTCATCATTTTGCATCATTTTTATGATGTTTCTTCACGATGTTTCCTTAATTTTCTATCTTTTTCAATATTTCTCATTATGTTTCGTCATCTGCCATCATTGCTCTTCATTTCTCATCACTGTTCATCACTTTCTTCATTTTCATAATGTTTCATCATGTTTCATCATTTTCATTACTTTTTTGTTGTTTTTCCATCGTTTTCTATCATTTTCTATCATTTTCTATCATTTTTCTATCATTTTTCTATCATTTTCTATCATTTTTCTATCATTTTTCTATCATTTTCATCAATTTCATCATTCTGGCATCATTTTCTATGCTTTTCATTCTTTTTCATTATGTTCTATTATTGTTCTATCATTTTTCATTATTTTTCATTATTTTTCATTATGTTTTATCAGTGTTCGTTATGTTCTATAATTTTTCAATCATTTTCATCATGCCCGCATCATTTGCTGTCCTTTGCATGATTTTTCTCAATTTTTCATCATTGTTCTAGATTTTTCATCATTTTTCATTATTTTCAGTATGTCTTATGATTTTTCTATCATTTTCATCAGATTCTATTATTTTCATGATTTTTGGCAATTTTTCGTGATTTTCATCGAGGCGTCCTTCGATTCCAGGCCCCCAGCCACCAAAAAAAACAGCACCCCCCAAAAAAAACAAGTCCCAAAAGAAAACTCCACCCATACTTTGTCCCGTTCTCTAATGCTTGGGAAGCAGTTCCCAGTACTAGCTACACCCGGCGCGGGTCATTGCGCAGACCGAGCTCTGGCGTACGGCACGAGGAGAAGTGCTCAGAGGCTCGTTGCCATATTGCCAATGTGTGGGCTGCAATTTCCGTTGAAGGGCAAATGGCGACACTTCCAGGAGAGAGAAGCGAGAATGTGATGGTAATCCTCAGAGGTCAAGTTGGTGTCCTGGAGAAGGAGACGCCTTCCACTGATCGTCAGATATTGGTACTTATTCATTTGGCAGGATCCAGAGCTTGACGACCTTCCACCCGCGATTCTGCAGGGTCTAGGGGCAACAGCGGCACGCGGCACTCTCAGTCCAGCCAATGACGCGGGGTGCATCATTGATCCCTACTTGGGTGGCTTTGCACGGCTCGTTTGCTCACGGTTGCAACCCAGCCCTGTAGTGCCCAGCATGATGGGCGATGGTGCTATGCCATTCAACTTCCCAAGAAGAGTCACCAAGCTCCTGCTTCTCCTCATCCTTCTTCGTTGCAGCGGTATCAGGTTTCTCAGCATTTTTGCTGTGCAGACGTTATCGTTTGAGCTTCGTGCAATAATGGATGCACAGAGGTCTCTTCCGGTCAGCGGATGTTCCAGTGACGGAACAGGACCTTGTTGATTTAGACGGCTTATAGAGTAACGCACGTAAGTGCGGGAGGGGGGTAGTGAAGGATGGAGAGCTGGTAGGTTCAAACCTGGCTTCAAACGATCTCCAGTGAAGAGGCCCGCAGCCCAGAGATTACTCATAGCAAGTTGATATTTGCACCCTCTCCTTTTTGAGTAGGTTTGCCTTGCTGGCATGCACGCCGCTCCACTCTTTTATGCCTCCACTCCAGGCAATGGGCTCCAGCATGCCGCTGGTTGATGGTGCGGACAGCAGCCAGAGATGCTTCTCTGCACTTTGACAGGGATGGCAGACTTTGACTGGGGTCCAAACAGGCCTCCTGTGCCCAAACCTAGGAGACCTGGCCGCATCACTCCTTGAGACCATGATCTACCGCTACAAGGCTGTGGTCGGTATCCAAGCCACCTGCTCACCTGCTTCTTGTGTTCCCATGCTGTCAAGAGGCATTGAGATTTGAGTTTAGACAGGTCAGCATGAGCCCGCTTCTGCTCGAACCTCGACAGGAGATCTTCCCGCCTTCACAGCATGGCATACCGCAATTCCTCAAGTCGGCGCTGGGAGCTGAGGATCCACAAATGCTGACTTTCTGTACTTGTTTGCTCGGCCAAGACCGAAGCCATGAGCCAGCTTGGTACACAGGTTCCTGGATCAGACATTCCTGGGCGACAATGCTTATTGGGTAGTCAAGGACGCTCTAGATGTGTGCTTAGAGTCTTTGCCCTGCATGTTGCGCAGAGCATCTTGGTGGGAGGACCAGGGGGGACTGCACAAAGACGGCAGTGAAGGCCAGATTGAACAACCCAGAAGGTCAGAGCTGTCAGACTTCTGTTCAGCAGGCCAGTCCTCTCGGCCATGGGCAGACTCGCTGGTGGTGCAAATGGACACATTCCGGAAGGGTAAGGCAGATCATGACACCAACATGTAGCTCAGGCTTATGTCTAGGCAGTTTGTGACGAGATATGCTGCAGGCAAAGTATTTGGACATATCTGCTGCTGGGCATCTCCGGCAAGTTCTTTCGTGCAACTCCCAGTGGCACAAACGCAGTTGCCAAGCCCAGTGCCAAAGATGTGCTGTAGATGTTGCAAAAAAGATGAAAAGCACGTTGGTTTTGACTCCACACCATGAGGCCTGGCGATCTGCTTTTGGGCGCTGGCCAACAAACCTTGGTGGCCATCGAGCCGCGAACAGGCGCCTTGGTAGACTTTCGCAAGTGAAAGCGACAAAAGCTGCCTTTTGGAGAAGGATCACTTTCATGCCACCTTTGATGGGGGATGAAAACTACAGGATCCGGGGGTTCACCGAGGGACATTTTTGCAGTGACCCACCCTTCCAAAGCCAAAGCCAAGAGATGGAATAAGAAGAAAAACATGGATTAGGAGAGGCAGTGAGATGCAAGGGTGAATGCCAAAGGGAGTAAGCCACAGGGCATGGAGTGTAAGGGAGAGAGAGGCATTCGCTAACCTTCTTCAGCCACATTTCAGAGCTTCAGGCAGTCCGTTTTCTCTGTGTCAGGATGCGGGCTTTTGTTTCTCCATTGGCTGCGACAAGGCAGATGCAGCCACCGGAAGGATACTGCTGGGAGAAGGGGACGGGGGGTAGAAGACGGGTGGAGGTGGCGGGGAGGGGGCGATACGAGACCGAGGGCAGCGCATGGTAATCTCATCGAAAGCACTTTCCAGGTCTTGAACAGCAGGCACTCCGGGCCTCGTGTTACCGACCCATGACAGACCTGGGCGGACTACGGGTCTCTCTTCAAGAGAGGTAGAGCCTATAGAAGAACAAGAGAGCGAAGCTCGAAATTCGCTCGGGACTTGGAAAGAATGATGGGCTCTGTGGATTCGCAGGTTGTATCTTGTTCTCGGGAGTGAGTAGTTTGGTTGTGTTCTGTTGGAATTGCAGATTATTGCGGCGAACCCCGGAAGGAGAGCGGGAATGCAGTGTAACTATTAATGACAGCCAATGAGTAGTGTCATCAGGAGTTCAGCCTCAGCCGGAACTCGAGTCTTGAGGGAATGATCAGGCTCAACTGTAGCAACATGAAATTCTGCAAATTCCTAAGGGAGTGCAGAGAGTGTATGAATAAACAATGTAAAAGATGTGAAGTGGAGGAAGATGAAATGGTGCTGGTTGACGCACGTTCGGTTGAGGTGATGCTTCCTTTGCCAAACAATTTGCAAGAGAGGCAAGGCTGCCGTCTTGAGGTGGTCAGTTTTTCTGGTCGTGATATCAGCAGCGAGGCTTGAAAGGGGGAGCAGCTAAGACCCTTCTCTTGTTTCCCTCTCCAGCGGAATAGAAGAAGAGGAAGTAAGAGTCACTGTCAACCCTTTCTCGGCAGGCTTGCCAAATAGTTCTCCAACTGGATAGAGACTTGCGCTGTGGGCGATGCCCATGTGCAGCCCTTCGAGATCCAGGGTGAAACTGCTCTCAGGAATCTTCCCACTCTGGTACTTTGTCACAACAATGCTTAGCCCAGGCTGACCCTTCACTGGTCGAGACTGAAGATTCTCGCTCATGACTGGTAGTGCCGCGGGCATACACCGTGCTGTTCGTTACGAATTCCTCAGGAGTAGGGAGGAAACGTGTAGTGGCAATTGAAGCTCCTATTAGTTACGGCCTCCGCTTTGCTCGCTGCTCCGGGTTTCTCTTGTCATTTTCTCACTCATCATGCAGCGGACCTTTTGGGCTTGGGGGTGCAACCACCCTCTAGGCGTTCGGCCTTCGCGCAGCCCTTTGACAATTTGACGAAGAAGAAGAAGATGACCATGACGATGCCGATGATGATGATGATGATGATGATGATGAACTTTTTCTGGTCCTTGAAACAAGTTAAGTACTATGGAATATGTCCTTACTGGCGGTATTGTCCACTTGGGCAGTACGCCGTACAATGGGCACCATGTTGCCTTCCGCATACATGGAGACAGTAACCAGGTCGGACACACATTATTGCCAGGCAGAACCGACATCATAGATGATAACCGGCGCCCAAGAGCTGCGACTAGTGCCGATTGGGATCTGATTGACAGAAACGCCTATCTCCTCCTGTATCGTGTTCGGCGAGCGATGCCAAGCACCAGTGCAGGTCGCTTGTATGATACGATGCCAGTGGTCAGCCACGTAGTATCATGAAGCCTGGGAGCTGCCTCTTTTGATGTAGATAGCCCTTCTGGCGCGCCGTCAATCGCACGGCCAATCCCCATAGAGGGATGGTAGCGCCCAAAAGACTGGGATTTGCTCAGCAGCGAGTGAGTGAGTGAGTGAGTGAGTGAGTGAGTGAGTGGGTGGGTGGGTGGGTGGGTGGGTGAGCGAGCGAGCGAGCGAGCGATGATGATGATGATGATGATAAGCGCCGGGCTCAGCACGTTCAGTGAGCTTTTTGTCTGCTCCTTTGTCCCTTCCAGATCTGTAGAAACAGCCATAGATTGTGGTCGCCAGCGATCCAGGGAAATCCAAGACTTTCCTGGTGCTCCACATGCTGATCCGGCTATTTCTGCTGCTGATCCTGAGGATTGGCGAGAGTAGAGGCCCGCTACTGGCAAACCCATTCTGGACATCACAGCCAAGTGGTCAAGAGTTTGCAACATGCGGCCCACTGACGAAAACCAGGATCCTCATTTCGCCTATGACCGGCCAACGTGTGATTGCACGGGAGGAAGCGCCACAGGTCCCAGATTTCTCGGAGTGGGGCTTGATGAGGCGATTGAGTCATCCAGCTGCATGTTCGACCAAAGCAAAAGCGCTTCGACTGACGGAGCAATATCTTTGCCTGGCAAGCTGGAGTTGGAGTTGCCTCAGTAACATCTCGCTCGTATTGTTCGGTCGCACCATTAAGGCATCGTGCGCTAGCTATGGCATTTGCAGTGAGCAAGCTAGCCGGGGAGTGGCAGGCTTCGGGTTTCAAGCTATGACGCGCTGGACTGTCTCTAGGGAGCATGCGGCAGTGGAGCAGCCGCACATCTCGCACCATGCCTGTCAGCACGCCATGCACTTGAGCAGTAGGTTGCAAGTTTTGAGTGATAACCGGAGGGATTGTAAGGGTTCTTGTGGATTCGGGGGTCACGTTGCCGAGGTGCTACGTCTTTCTGCCTGGCCCGCTCCACTCCCCAAATTGTTTTCCCCTTCCTTACTTTCCCCTAGCAATGTTAGACCAAGTCCCGAAACCAGGCGTTGGTCCGCAAGCCCGGACAGCTTTGAGAATCACGTGTCCAGGAGGGTGGCCAAGGGATGGCTGCCCCGAGCCGCGATCAGCTGGAGAGTCAGGCGTCACTTCGCATCCATAGGACAGGGGCCATGTCCATTGTCTTTGCAGCACCCAGTAGTGCCCACTAACAATGTACTTTGCGGCGTTGCTGTTTATCTGTGTTATCAGAGCGTCAAGCTAGTTGCCACCATGACGTGGCAGCAGTGCATGTGCACAGCCATTCATGTGTTGCTCTCCCCGTTTTTGGACGCAAGCGGTCATTCTCATGTGAGCGAGGCGTGGGAAGGCCCAGCTGTTGATGACCGTGAGACCACAGCACGCATACATGTTGAGAAGGGTCCTAGGATTGAAATTAATCTCTTTTCCCGGTTGACTGTTAACGAGAGCAGACATAGTAAAGTTGAGTCCTCGGGTCCCAAGTCCCGAGGCCGCAAGGGTTTGACAGGGTGCAGGAGCCTTCCTCGAATGGCCCTAACAGCAACCATTGCACAATCCCCTGCGGCCGGCGTGAGGGTTGTCGCGGGGCCCTCCACCGTGACGGAACCAATCACAGTGGTTCCATTTCCTGCCAGTGGTGGGAAGCAGGAGGGTGGCGAGGCCACCAGAAGCGGCTATCACATCCCATACGCAGCGCAACATAGTAGAAACCAAGCAGATTCTTCCCTGAAAGGATCAAAACGAGCACTTCGTCGAGCTCGAAATCGAGCATCCAGGCAGGGGGAAACGTGGTATAAGGGCAAGCTTCACACATTGCAGTCCCTCACGGGAGCTAGCGGGCCTAGACCTCAAAGTAGACGGACTTCCCATCCTGACTACAAGTACAAACCTAGAAGCAGGGGTGGCAATCACTGTCGACTCAGGGTTCTTACGCTTAACGTTGGCGGATTTAGCCCCTTATTGTGGAGAGAATTCAAGGAATTTTTAAGGACGGCTAATCTTGACTTCGATTTGATCCACATCCAAGAAGTGCACTGGGCCCAATCCTCCTTGTTTCACATTCACGGTTGGGCCGTGATCTGTTCGGCTTGGAGCACCAAGTCAGCGGGAGTCATAACCTGCATCTCGCCGTCAGTGGATGCCACCACAGTCAGGTTCGAGGAAGTTGTTGCGGGTAGGCTCCTGCGCGCCAGATTTGAATGGCATGGTTGCGCAATTGAAGCCCTAAACATATATCAGCACGTGTGGGACAACAAGTCCAGCAAACAAACGAACTTGACAAGACGGCACACTTTGCTCGAAGCCGCTTCACGAGTCATTGCACAGGTTCCAACACGAGCTACGTTGGTTGTCATGGGTGACGTCAATGCCGAATGCAAACGGAGTCAGGGCCTTACGGGCACTGCGTTGGCTCGCACGCTCAGCCATGTTGGCGAGCAAGCGCATGACCCCAACAGCCTTACTGAGTTCGTTGAACAGCACGAATTGGTGGCCGTTACTACTTGGTCTTCTAGGCCCCCTATTACTTTTCAGAATCATGAGGGTCAATCGCAAATAGACTACATCTTCTGTCGCAAGAGCAGCGCAGATTGCACGGCTAAGCGCGCCGACGTGTGCTCACTCCCGTTCGGGCATGGAAGGCGATGGGACATAAACCATTGAAAGCAAGTTTGAGATGCGTCATGCACTATCATCACGCTCACAGATCGCAGAAAACCAACGTATGTGCTGGAAAAGAGCTAGATGCAGCAGTGCGAGCCAACGACCCAAGAGTGCAAGCGCTGCGCGTGGAGGTGCAACATTCCCTGTCGTGCTACACCCAGCAAGGTAGACTGCCAACCCCGGATGACATCAATTCCGCTCTCCGTAGTGCATGTCTTCGCGTTTTCCCGCCCCAGCAATCCCGGCCAAAGCAGCCCGATGCAGAGGTCCAGAGCTTGTGGCAACTTCGCCAACAGATGTCTCGCCCTAAAATTGCGGCGCCAGCTAAGATCCTCAGGGCTTGGAAGGCCGCGGCGGCTTACATAAAGGCCACACAGAGGGTGCGCAAGCACTGCTTGCAAGCAAAGCGTCAGCGTGTTGCTGGCCTACTTCTTGAAGCTGAAGCGGCAGCCTCAGCGCATCAACAACGGCAGCTTTATAACATTGTCAAACAGCTGGCCCCATGGAAGCCCAGGCCCAAAATCATGCTAAAGGATGCCGAGGGCCTCTTGGTATCCCACAGGAAGGAACACGAGATCCTGAGGGAATATTGCGTTAAGCTTTTCGCGCCACAATGTCCTGCCCCACCGCGGCCTGGTACTGACATGACTTTGCCTTTTTCCTCCCGTGAAGTTGCGAGGCAGCTCAGCGCCGTGAAGCCGGGGCGTGCCGTGCCACCTGACTCAGCACCCTCCGCCGCTTGGAAAGCGTGTGCGGGGATAATCGCAGGTCACATCCATCACAACTTCGGCCAGCTGCGTACCACTGATCAGGTATTCCACTCAGCCTGGACAGACTGTCATCTAATGTGGATGTGCAAGCCTCGTAAGCCCCCGTGCAAGCCGGAAAATCTCCGCCCCATAGGGCTGGTCCGGCCCGATGGGAAAATCCTGGCCGGTTTGTTGAAGTCCCACGTTGAAGCTGCGGCCCTGCGTCACCTCAAGCTGGCCCCGCAATATGCCTTCCTCCCAGGGAGGGGCGTTGCTGACAGTCTGGCTAGGGTGCACGCGTTTATCACGCGCGTCATACAGGCGACAGCCGGGCACAGTGGCAACCATTTTGCGCGCAGGGAAGGCTTCAAACCTGCCCCGTGCGTAGGGGGTATTTTGCTCTCCATTGATGTCTCCAAAGCCTTTGACTGTGTTGATCGTCATGTCCTGAAGTCCGCTATGGAGAGGGTTCAGGTGCCTGAGCAGCTGATCGCTGCAGTCATAGCACTTCACGACACCGCCAAATACCACGTCAACATGTCAGGCTTTGACAGCGCCCTGCTTACTAGCAGGGGAATCAAGCAGGGCTGTCGCTTGGCTCCAACACTATGGGCCATATTGTACTTTCACCTCTTGGCTTCCCTTGCCGTTGATGGGCAGCAACTCGTAGACCTCCCGTACACGGGATTTGCAGACGATACGCTTGGGCACTGGCATATAGGCAGCATACATGATATCTACCGCGTGGAGCAGATGGTCCGTTCCCTGTTTGATGTTCTTGATGCTTTTGGCCTCACAACCAACCCTGACAAATGTTCCTTAATTGTGCACCTCAAAGGAAAGGAAGCTAAGAGAATTCTCAAACAAAGGTCTGTGGTCCATAAGGGGGCAAAGTGCTGGGCTGTCCCACGGGGCGGCAAGTACATCTTTCTTCCCATCGTTGATGAGGCCACTTACTTAGGCACAATCTTGTCTTTCAAGAACCCCGTGGAGAAGACTGTTGCGCACCGCATCAAGGAAGCCAACGCCAAGGCGGC